GGGACTTAAATACGGATTTGATGCACGAGAAAATAGTGCATATTGGACGTGAAGAAGGGAGCAAGTTGCACGTGGGGAAAAAAACGCTCCTGATTTAAATGTCACACCTGAACGCTCACATCCTTTTAATTATGTTTGAAATTATGAACATTGCTCAACATCATGAAAATTAAACCTTATTTTCAATAAGCAATCCTGAAAACTATTTGGGGGTGCTTAACTTTTTTCCAGGTGTATAGTTACGTTAGTGGGATAATGTTAGTAGTGTTTCTTTTGGGTATTAATAATTCATTGACATTTTCACCGAACAACTGAAACTTATCTTTCTAAATATCGTTTGGCTTTGTTAATCGCTTATTCGTTGGTTGTTATTTTCTGAACTTGAAAAACTTAAGCAATGACTATTTTCTAAATCATTTTACCAAGAAAACTAAGTAACATAGATAACCATATATCACTCTTAATGATATTCACAGAAGCAACTTATCTATTTTTCCTAACACGTAAGTACATGTATTACATCAAAATCCAATTACGTGTTCGTGGTCATTTTTGTTTTTATTTTTGAAGGAATTATGAAGAAAAACTATTTCACACGAACAGTTTACACAAATGATTTGGTTTTGCGAAAAGCTTCACTGCTATTAACAACTATAAAAAAACTTTTTATTGTCTATTGTGAGAAAACAGATTCAATTGTGAAAAATAAAGTGTTTTTATTGTTTTTAAAGGAAGTTTCATAGTTATGTATAATACCTTAAATAACAAGTCTTTACTATATAATATTGTTTTTTTCGCCCAATGGGAGAAATCCTCTAACGTAAACAAATTAATTATTTCAACTTACTCTAAACACAAATTAAGCCTCACATAACCAACCGAAACTTTAATGGATTGTACGTTCTAAATGTGATATCCCAAGAGAAAATTCCTATTGAAAATATATTTAGCGAAACAACGTGTCTAACACCACATGTTACGTTTGAGTGCAAGTTCAGAGTCCGGGTACGCTAATTACTAGAAAACAATATGTCTAGCATCATACAACGGGATACGCTAACCATATAGCTCTGGAGTTACAGTCTGATCATACAAAAAAATTAGTAAATAAAGTGTCACATGTTTAAGAACAGCCCTATCAGGTTATCTTGGAATTATTCATGAAATCAACAGTTTGTATAAGTGATACTGTTTCATTGAAAATTGAGATTTCTGTATAAAAAAATATGCAAACCATAAAATGCGTAATCTCTTTTCTTGTAGTGGCGATGTGTTATAATAACTATATATCTTATGCATGAATATTGAAGTACGTTATATCTTTTAAAAATGCACACTTCTTAGCAGCTAAAACATTTTAAACACAAGAAAATGAAACTATTTACATCACAGTGTTCTGTGTAGTTTTATTACAAGAATAATGTGGTTAACGTTTACTGAATGCATTACTGAATAAGTTTAAAGTTATACTACGCCAAGTAGGAATTGTGCAGAGTAATAATAAGAACCAGAATCTAACAAGCTATATAACAGGTTACTAATCTAACAAGCTATATAACAGGATACTAATCTAACAAGCTATATAACAGGATACTAATCTAACAAGCTATATAACAGGTTACTAATCTGACAAGCTATATGACAAGTTATTAATCTAGCAGGCTATATAACAAGTTACTAATCTAACATGCTGTATAACAAGTTACTAATCTAACAAGCTATATAATAAGTTACTAACCTAACAAGCTATATGACAAGTTACTAATCTAACATGCTGTATAACAAGTTACTAATCTAACAAGCTATATAACAAGTTACTAATCTAACAAGCTATATGACAAGTTACTAATCTAACAAGCTATGTGACAAGTTACTAATCTAACAAGCTATATAATAAGTTATTAATCTAGCAGGCTATATAACAAGTTACTAATCTAACATGCTGTATAACAAGTTACTAATCTAACAAGCTATATAACAAGTTACTAATCTGACAAGCTATATGACAAGTTACTAATCTAATAAGCTGTATAACAAGTTACTAATCTAACAAGCTATATGACAAGTTACTAATCTAACAAGCTATATGACAAGTTACTAATTTAACAAGCTATATGACAAGTTACTAATCTAACAAGCTATATGACAAGTTACTAATCTAACAAGCTATATAACAGGTTATTAATCTAACAAGCTATATGACAAGTTACTAATCTGACAAGCTATATGACAAGTTACTAATCTAACAAGCTATATAACAGGTTATTAATCTAACAAACTGTATAACAAGTTATTATCATCATAAGTAGTGAATACTTCATCGATACATACTTTCATTATTCTCAATTTATCAGGTAATTTGTCCTGTATGAAGCAGGAAATATCCAAAAAATATGAGAACACAGCTTTGTTTTGTCACATTTTTAATACCGAAAAATATTTTATTGTTTGTCCTTGCCATTCCTCTTTCAAAATTGATTTTATTTACTACAAAAGTACTGTATCTGACTTCTTTATCGTTCGGAAGATGGAATTATTACTCAAGACAATGGGTTACAATTTAATCAGTCAGAAAAGATAAGTAAATTATGAGGACATAGAAAATCAGATCAAGTCAAATTTTTTACTCCTCAGCTGACTATGAGAGGCTTAACTGTTTCCATTTCGATAACCATGTGTGGTTTTCCATTTTATGATCCATATAAAAACTTTGAGGGATAGATAATATAGCAAGAGTACGAACTGTTAATTTCTGAAAACCACCAGTTTTCAAATAATGTTACGTCTGAATCGATAAATTCGTTGTTTCCTATTCCAACCAAGGACTGGAATATTGTATCTTGACATTAAAGGTGACAGCTGGCAGTTACTGGTGTGTGAGTTTTGTGCTCTAACTGCAGGTAAATGCTCGTTTAGCTTGGAAACGTGCACAATTTCTGTGTGCACGTACTTCTCGTTCACTTTGAACCCACATTACTCCATGGGTGTGGCAAAATAATGAAGTACTGCGCACCACGCTCTCTCACCTACTCAGACGAACCTTTGTGTTGTTAAAATCATGTAGTTACCAAAACCAACTACAAAAACTGGGAAACAAGTTATAAGAGTTCTGGCTGACTGAGGAAACATTCGATGACTTTTGTTTTTTTTCACAGACTTTAATAAAGTTCTCTCCGAATATGACATCATTAATTCCTAATAGGTGATTTCTACAATAAGTTTTTTTACTACTTCTTAGGTTGACAATTTCAGCAAGAAGCATAGAATCATCAAACCTGAAGCGTGTGTTTAGCTTTACATAATAAGCAAGAGGGAATCCTCAATAGCCGTGGCGGTAATTAGATCTCAAATCGGTCAACAGATGGAGCTATGAGTTAAAATTTTGTATCTGACAAAAACTCAAAGCCATTCTATGACCCGCTATGCCGCGGATAAAAATTGAAGGTTTGTGTGTGTTGTATAGCAAAGCCACATTGGGCTATTTGTTGTATCCACCGAGGGGACAGAAACCCCTGATTTTAGCGTTATAAATCCGTAGACTTACCGCTGTCCCACCGCTATATTTATAATTATGATATACCTGTCCTATGAACGAGATGGCTGGTCTTGTAACACAGCTGGTGCTGCAACCAAACCGGAAATTTTTGAAATTACTTTTTGATATCAATTATCTTACAAACAATATCTCATTCAATACCCTAGTTGTAAATAATAAAATATATGTCAGATAATCCTTACCTTAATTCTTATATGTTGTTGTCAAGTGCTACTATATCTATGTAGCCTGAAGAGCTCTGGTATTGGTCGAGAAACCTCAACGGCACTAGATATAGCAGGTGTAGTATGGTTGATATATTATTAAGCTGTACTTTCACTCATAAGTCCTTATTAATAATCACTAATGCAGTCTTCTCCCGTTGATGCTGCGATCACTTGACCTGCTCTGGGATTAAGAATAGTATCTTGCTGGTAATAATATGTTATTGAAATAAATTAATCATATAGTGGTAAACAAATCTTACTCTAATTCTGATGTGTTGTGACATTAATAAAATTTCTGAAAAATTACACTTTACCAACATAATACTTTACATTGTTATGTATAGCGTGGTTGGCATATTATTATACATTTTCATATTTTAACAAAGAGGTTTTTATATTATATATGTTGCGTACCGTGGTGTCTGTCCAAGCGTTCGTCTGTCTCCCGTTTACGGCGGCCGCTTCCCGCGCAGCGGTTTAAAAGCTGCGCATGCACGCAGGAAAAGCTCAACATTCGAGTACCTGTACGATAGCTAAACGTCCACGTCTATTCCCGAAACCGATCCCCAAGGAGAAGCCGTTAACTGCGGTGTCAACAATAAAGAAAAAACAATGGAAACAATACAGAGAGCGGCAACTCCATAAGAACACAGAACATCGACTTCACCAAGTGAAGTGCGAAAGATCATCAATAACTTCTGATTAGTGTTCGACAGCCCAAGGATGTGGAACAACACAAGTGTGATTCTGTCATGCCAGGCTGAAGAATGTACCCCAGGAACTTCTTTGGAGCACCGAAAAAGGTAAGCCTAGCACTAATGGCCTTGGAAAAAAAAAAACAACACAAAACAACAGCCATACTATAAACAAGTTACAAAGCCTTAAAGTTCTCGGTTGAGAACAAAGAAGACTAACAAGAAGATAAAAAAACAACGTCAGACAGTATATTATACACAGATAAAGACTCAGAGAGCAGTGACAGCAATGCCTCAAATGATGAAAGCAGCGATTCTGAATCTATCAGTAATCAAGAAAACAACGAAAAAGTCAAGAAACCACATAACTCATCTCAACCACACACTGACATCAATGACACACAAGATAAGAACACAAACACACAACAAGAATTCACAGAGGTACTAAACAAAAAATCCAAAAAAGAACACTAAACAAAACATATAAATAGAAGAAAAACACAAAAATACAGACTGAAACAACAGCAACGGAATCTACTAACAAACCCAATTACACCATCATCATTGAAGGCATCCCAACACAATGCAGAGAACCCCAACTTGCGGCAGAGATCTTACAAATCAAAAAACTAGCCAAAGGTGAGCCTAATGACCTCAATGCTCTATTAAAAAACATGGCCTCTGGAGGCGTTCAACTCGGAAGAATACGTATTCATCTACCAGGAAGCGGCCAACAACAAAAGCTCTTTGTCATAAGAGATATTCACCCGTCAATAGATCTCGAACAAGTCAAAAAGGAAATAACAGACTTGAAAATAAAGCACACAAGAATAGAAAAAATAATTTCTACAAAAACCAACACACCCACAAATTTAATCAAAGTAACTACAGAAAGCACCAAAACACACCCAAAATGGATTAATAATGTGGTTTCAAAAATGCACAGCGGAAGAAGCTAAAACACCAGCAGTTGTAGTAAACGCAGTATTTTATCTGTCAAATATTTGGATATGTGGTAGCTGCCTGCAAATTTACCACATGCTGTGTTGGATGCGGAGAAAACTGTGGATCTTCTGAATGCTTCCGATCTCAGGAAAAAGCTAAATGCAGTAATTGTAACGAGAACCATACTACCAATTATAAAAAATGCCAGAAATATAAAGACATAAAACAAACGATATATAACATAATAAACAATACAAACATAACAACAACAGAACAAAAACTAAAAACAAATCACACTACCCAGTAAAAGACTCCACCACCACCGACACCACCAACACAGAAAGCCAACGTAGGTACAACAGAAAGAACATAATTATGGTATTTTGGCACTTGTGTATAAAGTTAAAATCATAAATAATATTCAACGTTCAACTGGTACACAATTAAAAACA